TGTGTGTGTGTGTGTGTGTGTGTGTGTGTGTGTGTGTGTGTGTGTGTTGTAGTAACCATTTGCTGGAAACAATATGACGATATAGTTTGATAACATTCGTGTGTGGTTCTGAGTATTATTCTGGGTTATTTGGGGTCAGTAAAAATAACTTCTTTTCCTTGTAAAACTCTGTTAAGGACTTCGGTAAAGAGTTCCTTATTCCTTTTCCATACTACATATTTTGTGGTGTTCAATAAATACAGAGCAAAGCTTTTTGCTAGGCGCTGGCACCAGACAGGCACCACGCACACACAGACAGATGACAGGCTGAACATAGGCTACAGACGCTAGACAGATGGAAGATGCAGGCAGAATTCAAATTTGGGCCTGCTTTTGGTCTAAACTACTCGGCGAGGAAGGTCTTGTTACCGTTTAGTGCGGAACTAAATCACTGTACCCCTCTACTCTGCATGCTCCCCTGCATCTCTACCCTGCACCCCTCCAGCTTGTGTCCCTCCACTCCATCCTGTCCCCTGCTCTGCCTCCAAGTGATGGAGGGTGTGCAGGCAGCACCTCACCGATGAAGGAGGGCTGGAAGAGGGTCTCAGGGCAGCGGAAGCGCTCGTTGCCAATAGTGATGACCTGCCCATCAGGCAGCTCGTAGCTCTTCTCCAGGGAGGAAGATGAAGCTGCTGTGGCCATCTCGTTCTCAAAATCCAGGGCCACATAGCACAGCTTCTCCTTGATGTCTCGCACAATTTCTCTCTCAGCTGGAAAGGGCAGAAATGGCAAAGTGGTTCCTGGGCTCTGCAAGCTTGGTCGTATCATGGGCTCTCCAGGAAACTCTGTGAATGTGGCCTTAGGAGGAGGACAGAACTGCCCCAGAGAGAATCAAGGCTCCCCTCCACACTAGGTTAAATGTCCTATTCCTCAAAAAGGCTTGATTCCCAAGCACGAACCAAGGGATATTCTTCTTGCTCTGTCACTCTGTCTTGACAAGGCCACAGGTGCTCCTGGGGTTGTTATAGGGCATATTATGGAGCAGACTTGGACTTGACAGACTATAAAAATACTACTACCAAAAATTCTCTCTTACTCAGGTGGGCTTCGCGACCCCCCTCTCCCTTCAGATCCTTTTTTATATCATTTGTTCTTATAGACGCCACAGGAGAAAAATGTCAACAGCTCTCCAGCTAAACCGTGTTGAAACCGCTGGGCCTGAGGTGACGCGAGCATAAACAGTGGGTGCTGGGGGAAGGGAACGCTGAGAAGGTCTAAGGACAGTTTGATGGATCACTGCAGAAGGAAGCTAGCTCTAAGCCTTGTTCTCCTCCCTAGAGCACCTCCATGGGGAAGACTGCAGGATTTTCCAGTCCAAGAGACCCTGAGGACAGAGCCACAGAAGTCTCATCAGTCCTGAGAACCTGGTCCTAGATGAGGTTGTGGGCTCAAGTCTGAATAGGGAAAGGGGTGGGTACCTGTGGTGACAAAGGAATAGCCTCTCTCCGTGAGAATCTTCATGAGGTAGTCCGTGAGGTCCCGTCCAGCCAGGTCGAGACGCATGATGGCATGGGGCAGCGCATAGCCCTCATAAATGGGGACATTGTGGGTGACACCATCCCCAGAATCCAGGACGATGCCTGTGGACAGAGAATATGGACCTTGTTTTTGTCTTTCATTTGTCTGTTTCTGGGGTCTGTTACTGAATGATCTTTCATTATCATATTCTCAACCACCAGGAGAATTCTCAGTTACTGTGTGTATGTTTCCTTCTCCTGAATGAGAAGATTGGTTTCTAGGAGGCAAGTTCTAGGTCTCAATTTCTTGGATTTCTTGAAATGCAGACAAGGTGTTTGACAGTTGTCAATTGTCCTTGAATCCAGATTGCACATTCTGTTGTCTGTTACTTTTAGACTGCAATTCTCTGAGGATGTCAGTTCCCCTGGAGTTGGAGCTGCTTAATGTGAGTGCTGGGAACTGAACTCAGGTCCTTGGCAAATGCAGTATGTGCTCCTAACTGCTGAGCCATCTCTCCAGCTGAGCATGCCTATTGTTTGGTACAGGCTTTGTGGAAAACCCCGGAAGAATGAGTGCTCAGGAAAGCAGTGAACATAGGAAAGAATGCATTTTGTGACGGTGCTCAAGTTCCTATCGAGGATCACATGTTCTCTGCTTCCTGGGCATCCTCCGATGTCCAGGCCACATGCTTATACATCTGTTGTCACAGGTTCTACTGCTCATGAGACAAAGGCAATGCAATGAGGGTGTGTGAAGCCCCTGGCATGACCATGAGAGGAAAAACCCCAGTTGCGCACCTCAGTGATGGCTTTGTGTAAATTTTCTTCCGACTGTACAAGCAGGCTCACATCCAGCATGCTCCACGGCATCCTCATTTGTCATTTCCCTGGTCACTGGATGTCCCTTTGCTCTCAGCATGACCCTCTGGAGGAGCCCCGTTCCCCTTGTGTTGGTAACTGGTCATGTGCTGTCTGAGCTGGATGAGGAGCTGGCCCTGGAAGGTGAGTTGTCCTCACCTCCATTTCGGCCCCAGCATGTTAGTCTCAAAGTGCCTCCTCCAAGGCCCTGTCTGCAGGGGCTACATCCACCCCACCCCCACTCTGTGGTGGGGAGGGAAGAGTGCAGAAGAGTAAAGGCCATGTCCTTGTGGCTAGCTAGAAGCTAAACCATTTCCAGCAGAGGTTTCTACTGTTTTTCCCACAGTGTAAAAGCGCCTGCACTGGTGAACAGAAGTTCACCACGGAGAGAAAGTCAATTAGAAGCTGCAGCTGACTGCCTCAACTTCCCCAGCTAGTTTCTGTAGGATGCTTGTTAAGCCCCAGTTTGATGATGTCATCTATATGCTGCTATTTGCTCTTCTCATTGGAGGGGACACTGCCCTGCCCAGAACCCTCTGTTGGGAACCCCAGCTGATTGTCTCAACAGGGCTTCCCCAGCTGATTTCTACTGGATGTTTTCAGTTTCCAACCTGACAATGTTTTGCTATATATTGAGCTATCTGTCTCTGGCTATTTATTTGTTTTCTTTGGCTTGCTATAGACTTGCTACAGACTCTGCCATTTGAAACGAAATCTGAATTTTCTGAGCATTTTCAGGCCTGTGAAGAAGACACGGAGCCAGAAGAGGCGTGGGTTTCAGTGCTACTGACCTGTGGTGCGGCCAGATGCATAGAGGGAGAGCACAGCTTGAATGGCCACGTACATGGCAGGGACATTGAAGGTTTCGAACATGATCTGGAAGGACAACAGGAGGAAAGTGCTGTCCGTGAAACATCACAGCATCCCCTGACCTACAGAGTGGCCTGTAATGACTTAAGGGCAAGAGCTCAACGGTCCTTATTTATCCCACTTCCATTCCCACGGGACCTGCCCTGATGGCCCCACACAGCAGGTCTGTAAAGACGTTTTGCCGAGTTGGCACATGACGGGGAAGAAGTAGCTGGCTGAGCTGCTTTCCTGCGCACAGTGGTCTTACCTGGGTCATCTTCTCCCGGTTGGCCTTAGGGTTTAAGGGCGCCTCTGTGAGCAGGGTTGGGTGCTCTTCTGGTGCCACCCGCAGCTCGTTGTAGAAGGAGTGGTGCCAGATCTAGTTGAGATAAAAGCTAGGTAAGCCCAGCAGACTCCCCAGTTTTGAGAAGAACCTGGCTAGCCTGCCCATACTGGGGGAGGGTGGCCAAGTGCCACGCAGGAGGGTAAATCCGGAGAGATGGTGAGCCCGGGGGTCTCTGATGGACACGGAGAGACTCTACCCTTGCCCCAAGCATGCCAGGCATAGAACCGATGTATGTGCTGACTTCTACCACTCGACCCTTCCTCTTCTCCCCGTCTCCCAGTCCTTCCTGCTGCTTTGTCCTGGAGGCGGGCTGTGCTTGGTGCTTATTGCTTCCAGGCTTCTGGTTGTGTTTGGCTGATGGATGGCCCGGGCAAGAGCTTAGACAGCGGGAGGAGAGAAAAGCCTTAGCGTTTCTCTTAGCTGTGGTGTGGCCCTCCCTAAACACACCTTCAGTTGATGGCCTCTCTTCCAGCGTGCCAGGTCTTACTGGGTTCCAAGGACACCGCCTACCCACGCCAAGTCCTTGCGGGGGCGCTAGAGAGCGTAAGCGCTCCTATAGCAAGCAGAAGTCCTTTTTCGGTCGCCTTAAACTTGCTCACATCTCTGTGATTCTTCAGTCAGCCTCCTCAAAAGGGCACCCTGTCTCCTGCTGTGGTCCGCGCACATACACCCTGGTCTCCCTGCTTCCTGGCGACGGGCCTGCTGCTCTGCACGGCAGCGCGGCGTCCTCTTAGGTCGGCTCAGTGTTGAGGGGTCAGACCTGAGCACCATGGGAGGCTTAGTGGCATCCCTAGTCTCCGCCCACTGCAGGCTAGTTGTGCCCAAAATTTGGTTATATCTCTTATGTTTTCAAAGCAAGTATTGGGAGATATGTGTGTGTGTGTACAAATCTATCCTCGATAGGGATCGCTGTGTCTCCTCACCCACGGGACCAGCTCCAAGACGACCCAATGAGGGTCTTTACTTTGGAGGGGTTTGGCAAACAGTGTCAGAGCACATGGAAGTTTGACTTCTTTAGCAATAGGGTTAAGTCACACCACTATATTTATGGTAATAAATGTGACAAGAGCCGTTATGGGTTGGACATGGTGTCTGCTTCTTAGTTTCAAAGTCTGCAAGGGAGAAAGTCTAAAAGACAAAAACATCAAGGAAGAGATGGAAACGATCATTATCTTGGAGCCTGGAATGGGCTGGAAGGCAAAGAAGGCTCCCAGCGGCGCCAGAGGGCCTCTGACACACAGGGAATGCCAGGAGCACAGGCCTTGACCTTGGAAGTCTCACAGGAAGATGAGGGACAGAGGCTGACCTCTGTGGAGTGAAATGGGGTTTGAAATACGCCTGTCTCAGCGTCACCGGAGACGGGGACAGCTGGCTCAGCTCTATCATTAAGAGTGGGCCAAGCACCACACTTCAGCTTATTTTTTCAAAGCTCTGTACCTCATAAGTTAGAAATGTTGCCAAATCAAAAAATTTGGAAAATCTTTTATCCCATTTGTTACAAGTTAACATTTGACATCTTTCCCCCTGACTCTTGTCTTCATGTTATTTGTAATTGATTATTGCTTATGCACCTCATATCCATTATTATTATTATTATATGTTGACATTTGTTTTTAATTAATTAATTAAATATTTTGGGGACAGGGTCTTTCTATGTAGCCCTGACTTACCTGGAACTTGCTGTGTAGACCAGGCTAGCCACAAACTCTCAGAGATCTGCCTGCCTCTGCCTCTCCCGTGTTGGAATTAAAGGTGGGTGCCATTACACTTGGCTGTTTTTATTTCATTTTGAAGTCTGGATTCTTTTTTTGAAGAGAGTAATTTTCTTTTCTTAAAAGGGGGATTTAAAAAGTGTGTGTGTGTGTGTGTGTGTGTGTGTGTGTGTGTGTGTGTGATGTACAACAAGTGTAAGTGTTCCCAGAGGCCAGAGAATGGTGTTGGCGCCTCTGGAGTTGTAGGCAGCTGTAAGGCACTGGGTGCTGGCACGGGTGCTAGGAAGCAAACTTCGGTTCTCCTCAAGAGCAGCCCATGCGCAGAGCGGCTGAGCCATCCTCAAGCTCCAGCACTCTGAGTGTTAGTGGTGATTCTATACTACTTATTTACCACTCTTCCAACACGTTTGTTGCGGTGTTTTTGCAATATGTTGTTTGGCTTTGAGATTTAATTTTTGGACATACACATGAGAAGTCACAGCTTTTAGGAAGTCACATCGGTTACTCTTTTCTTCTATGACTCCTTTCACCAGAAAGCTAATGTTTACATTCACCTTACTGTATCTGTACTCTTTAGATTTTTCTATTTAACCTTTAGATTCCGTTGATTTAGATGTGTGAATTGGTATGAGGTGAGATTCTGAGTGATTGGACAACTAGTGGTTACTTCAGAGCAACCCGCCCAGTTCCTAGTAAGCTTTTTTTAAGGTGTGATTTCCTTAAAGAGGTCATACACTGTCCCTACTGTGGAAAAATATTTTGTTTCTTATGTTCTCAAATAAAGTAATGAAAGATGTGTGTGAATAGTGAGTGTCATTTCCAAGCTCCCATCCATGTGTTGGGGTATAGGAAATCCATGCTTAATTTCACCCCTAAAGCACTCTAGTGGAAAAGGAGGTTGTTTGATTTGAGATGGGGTCTGTATCTGTGACCTTGAATTCACAGCAAAGTGCCAATCCTCCTGCCTCAGACTTTCAAGCTCTGGGACTATAGGCATGAACCCTGGCACCTCAGAAGAAGAAGCAAAGGCTGGGGCTGTGGTGTGTACACGCATTCCTTTTCATGCTCCTCTCTGATGAGAAGGCTGTCGTAACAGAGGCTAGCTCACACCTGAAGTGTACTCCATTGTCGGTGGACAGAGGGAAGAATACTGGAAAGGCGCAGTGGACAGAGGGAAGAATACTGGAAAGGCGCAGTGGACAGAGGGAAGAATACTGGAAAGGCGCAGTGGACAGAGGGAAGAATACTGGAAGGCGCAGTGGACAGAGGGAAGAGTACTGGAAGGCACAGTGGACAGAGGGAAGAGTACTGGAAGGCGCAGTGGACAGAGGGAAGAAT